TATGATATGTTAAATTGGGAGTTTGTTCGTAAAATTTTGGATGAAATTCAAATCCGACACTGGTTCACAAATATTATCATGAATTGTATCAACTCTGATAAGGTCTCAGTGCTTTGGAATGGAGCCATTGCAGGTGACTTCCTTCCTTCAAGAGGAGTTCGTCAGGGTGATCCTTTATCTCCCTACATTTTTGTTCTAGCCATGGAAAAATTGTCTCATCTCATTCAAGATGCGGTTGACAATAAGAGATGGAAGCCAATCTCCGTGGGATCAAAAGGTCCTAAGATAGCCCATCTGATGTTTGCTGATGATTTGATGTTGTTTGCAGAAGCTTCTCTAGATCAAATCAAAGTTATAGTGGATTGCTTGGAGACTTTTAGTTCAATGTCTGGCCTAAAGGTTAGTATTCCGAAATCTAGTATTTTTTTCTCGAAAAATACAGATGCTCACATTGCAGATGATATCACAAATGTGTGTGGCTTCAAGCAAACTCACAATATAGGGAGATATCTTGGGTCCATGATGAAACATGGTCGAGTAACCAAAGACCATTATGCTGATGTTGTTGCAAGAATTAGGCACAAGTTATCTGGTTGGAGTAACCAGGTCTTATCTTTTGCCGGTCGAATTACACTTTCCAACTCCGTTATTTCAGCAACTCCTATATTTCAAATGCAACACAGTCTGCTTCCTGTAGCCATTTGTGATGAAATAGAGAAGTTGCAGCGTGCCTCTATTTGGGGTGATAAAAATGGTCAAAGGAGATCTCATCTGGTTGCATGGGATAATATTTGCAAGCCTAAGAGCATGGGTGGCTTAGGGGTGATTAACCTTCGTGTCCAAAATATGGCTTTCTTTCACAAGCTTGCATGGACGATACTTACTTCGCCCGATTCGTTGTGGGTTCGAGTTGTAACAAGTAAATATAAGAGAGGTTTGGATCTTCGGAGGGAAGTAAATCATAAAGCATATGACTCATACTTCTGGAAAAATCTGTGTAGTGTTTGGCCATCTTTTCTTCAAGCAATGCAATGGGAGATTGGAGACGGTAATGATGCATTATTTTGGACAGACAATTGGTTGGGTTTAACTGAGTGTCTTGCCTCTCTGGCTACTCGTACTCCAACTGGTTTGGAGTTGAATCTCCCTGTTAGTGCCTTCGTGAACAACAATACTGGTCAATGGAACTTTCCCTATATTCGTCAATATCTCAATGATCAAGCTGTTGCAAGGATCCAAGCTGCTCTCATTCCTAGCGCATCGGATGGAAATGACCGCATTATTTGGAGAAATCAAAAGGTTGGCTGCTCTTTAGTTAAAACCGCGTATTATAACATGCTTGGTTTCCCTTTCATGCCGTTGAAAAATTCTTGGACTACCATATGGAAATGGCATGGGCCTCAACGTGTTAAATCTTGTATGTGGATCATAATGCATGGTCGCCTTCTTACTAAAGACCGCACATCTAGATGGAGTGGGGAATCTGGTCATTGTAAAATATGTCCTGGTGAGTTGGAAACAAACCTCCATGTTCTAAGAGATTGTAAGCATGCTAGAAGTGTTTGGAATTCTCTGGTTTCAGCTAATCGGCAAAGCTTATTCTACAGCTTGGATCTTAGAGATTGGGTTGAAAATAATATCTCAAAAGCTTGGAATCAAAGTAATTCAGATGATTGGCGTGATGTCTTTTTTATCTCTTGTTGGTTCATTTGGGGATGGAGGAACAAAAGTGTCCATGATACTAACTTCAAGCATCCAACCCATGGAACACACATAATTGCTATGTATATAGAGGAAGTTCGTAACTGCATGGGTAGGAAGGCTATGGCTACTACTAGCATTCATCCAACTCGTATGAGTTTATGGAAACCTCCAAGGTTAAATTGGGTGAAGATTAATATTGATGGGGCAGTTGAAAGGAATACTGAGGTGGCTGCTTGTGGTGGGATCATCAGATCTGATGATGGCTCTTGGTTGGGAGGCTTTGAGTATCATATTGGTGCTTGCACTCCTTTAATGGCGGAGCTTTGGGGAACTCTAAAAGGTCTGGAATTGGTTTGGCAACTGGGATTTAAGAAGGTGGAACTAGAAGGAGATGCTTCTGAAGTATTCTCTTTGCTTGCTGATTGCAATGCAGCTTGTCAGCCTCGTATAGTGGCTAAGATACAAGCACTCATTGGTCAGGATTGGGAGGTAACGCTTTCTCATATTCCAAGAGAAGCTAATTCCTATGCTGATTGGTTAGCCAAGTCTGCTCTTCACAAAGATACTGGATTCTGGAGTCATAGAGTTATGCCGTTTCACCTTGCTCAGTTATTTGATCACGATCTTCAGGGAATCTCCTCTTGTAGGGATATAGACCCTGGATAGTTATTTTTTGTTTCTGGTTGTTAGTTTGTTTTTGTTTGGGGCTTTGCCCCTTAATGTTATCAAAAAAAAAAAAAAAGTAAAAACTTAACCGCACTTTTGGTATTATAACTACGGGGACTATTACTTTTTTATATTATGTGAGAGAAAAATTTTTTCATGCACTTACAAATTAAATATGGTACTTATTTTATATTTTTTCTCTTCTTTTTCTTTTAATTTGTGAGTTCATGAGAGAATTTTAGAAAAATTTTCTCTCATGTAATATAAGAGAATTTTTTCTTATAAAATATGAGAGTAATATTACGTGATTATTGTTCGATTTATTTTTTTATTTTTATTTTATCTTAATCTAACAATTGTTTCTTAATTCTTAAACTCAAGTCTTTTCGTCATCGCCTCATTATTCAATGAGTTTACTATTTCTTCCATAAAGTGGAAATAAAATGTAATTTTATACACATAGGAGGGTGGATGACTTTTTTCTCTTTTTTTTTTTTGGTAGTACTGTCCATTCTTGTATTTATAGAAAATAATTTTATTTCTAACTGAGAGTTAAACCCTTACTTAAAATTTCCATGTTTTTATTTTGTATATAAATAATTTTTAGGACAATATTTGAGATAAGACAATTCAAATCGATGAGAAGCTAGAAATATAATTAAAATTTGATGAAATTTATAGGCTTTTGTAAGAGCTCATTTTAGAATTTGGAAATAAAGAGAAAATTTGAATTTTTTTAATTTGAAATGAAATTTGATGTTTTGATTAATGGATTTTAAGTGAAGAAGAGATTAAAGTAATTTAATTGATTAAGATTTTAAATATAAAAGAAAATTTTAAGATTTGAAGTTAAAAAAAAACTACTGTAAAGACCGAGAACTAAAATTAAAGTTTTAAATTCGTAAAGAAACTTTAGGAATAAAATTAGAAAAATATTTTTGTTTTTGTTATAGAAATGTTTTTAATTACATTTATATAAAAGTGAATGGACGAGAAAAAATTTATGTGATCCACTCATTTTTAAGGAACAGTGACCAATGTGATATATTTTTGGCATTTATATACTAAACTGCCACGTGAATAGTAAAATTTACCAGACTGCCACGCGTTGAAGTTTGCTATGACTGGTAGTGAACTTGGTAGCCAATGATTTCGAATAAATCTTTGGTGCTACTTTTGTACCTAGATTCAGTGCATCCTAGTAGTAGAAGTATTACACATCAGAGGGGAGAGAGAATTTTGCTGATATGTAATGTTTTCATTAGTGAGATGTCCTTAATCTTTGGTGCAATAGTAACACCAAATAATTATTATTCAATGATTTCATGACACGTGGTACACTTTCGCAGAAAAAACTGACTGTCATATGTCTAAGTTTGCTACGACTTGTAGCGAACTTGATAGTCAATGATTTCATTACACATGGCATATTTTTGCAGAAAAAGATGACTGGACAAAGTTTGCTATTAGGGGTAGCGAACTTAGTGCGCTATGTGACACAATCTCGTTGCCCAATCAGAATTAATGTACTAATCACAATAAAAAAACGAAAGAAAATGGACTATTTAATTAATATACTAATCACAATTAATGTATTAATCACCAATCACAATTAATTTTGATCACAATTAATGTACCAATCACAATTAATTTTGATTGATACATTAACTGTGATTGGTACATGAATTGTGATTGGTGATTGATACATTAATTGTTTGTGATACCATTGTTTGCGAGAGATAAAATATACCAAATGAGGTGTCATTGCGTAGATCTCAGAAAGTCATGTGAAATAAAATAAAAAAATAATTGATTTGGATATCTGAATCAAAAGTTATGGCTCTCCGAAGTGATTGGTAAATGGTATATTAATTGTGATTGGTATAATCAAAAGTTAATTTCATTGGTAAACTAATTATGATTAGTACATTAATTTTGATTTGTACATTAATTAAATAGCCACTTTTCCTTCTATTTTTTTTATTATGATTGGTACATTATTTCTAATCTGGCAATGAGATTATGCTACATAGCAAACCCAGTTCGCTATTCCTGGTAGCAAACTTCGTCCAGCCAATTTTTCTCACGAAAGTGTGCCAAGTGTCATGAAATGATTGGTTACCAAAGTTTGCTACTGGTCGTAGCGAACTTCAATGCGTGACGGTATGAAAAAAACGTGACAGTCGGGTCAGTGTTCCCATTTTTACTTTGATGTGAGTGTGACTTTCTAAATTTTTTTTATAACAAAAGTAGAAATGCTAAACCAAATAAAATTATATATTAATCAAGGGAAAAATATTTATCTTTTTTAAATGATATAATTTGTGTCATTTTACCCCACAAAGAGATGAGACCCATTTATTTATTTATTTATTTGTCTATTCTTTCATCTATGATCTATTTCTTTCTCTCACTTAAAATCACACAAATTTCCCCCATTAATCATTGTATCAAGAACAAGGAATATATATTAATCATAATTAAAAAAGAATTCATGTAACCCCTGGATAGAGACTCCAGAACCCGAAACTGACACGAACGGATAATATTTGACTTCATCAATGGTCATGTGCAACGCGGGCCTATGATTATAATAATTGTGATAAACATGTTCTGTGCTAGTAAACTGTTGTTGCATTTCAGATCTGGATGTTGTGTCTGTTACCTCATCAATAAGCGAAGTTTAGAGGATAGTGGAAGTGTTATTTGAAAGTTGTTCAAAATGAATAAAGTATCTTGGGGTTGCACTGTTATCACCCAGCTGTGTCTCTGCATTGCTCTCTACATAGCTCTCAACTTGGGTCAACCTCAAACCTTGGTCAAGAGAAATGCAACTGGCCATGGTGAACCTCTTGATCTTTACTTTATCAGTGTCAAAGGGGGTTTCAGACCCCTTAGCCATCAATTCCAGCTTCTCAAACAGGTGGATTTTCTGTTCTCTCTTGTTCAAGCAAACTTTTTTTTTTTTTTTTTTAATTATTTTCTTGTGTTCCATTTATTTGTTGGAAATGAATAGCCCAAGACATAATAAAGCATGGGTTTGGATCTTCTTTTTCCCCATAATTAACATTTTAGTTTCTTCAGTGTCATGGTTGGTTGTTTTATCTGGTTCTCATTTTGCTTAACTTTCTTTCTCTATGTTCATGAAGATGGAGAAGGTGGCAAGAACTTACAAGGCAAGTTTTGTTATGTGCAGCAGTGAGCTTGGGGAAAATGATCCACTCATGCAGAATGTAGGTTTATTTTGTTTTGTATATATGTAGTTTGTTTGACCTTTGTAGCTATTCTCTGTTGGATTTGACTGAAAATGACATTGCTGGTGGCAATTGATATGTTATGTTTAAAACAATGGATTTTCCTTTCTCCGATATCAATTTGTGCAAGTGGTTATGGTTGGTTTTGTTTTTATTGAAATGATGTGTGGTTTCATTGTTTTCAATTATGACCAATGGTATATTCTTTTACAGGCTACTCAACATTTTCCATCACTGAGACTTCCCTGGTATACCATCTTCTCAGCAGTCTTTTATCTATATTGGTATATTTGCATCGCATGGAAATGTTGTCGCCTCAAAGTCTTGGATTCCAATGTATTGTTTTGAAAAACCCGCTATCCTTTTTCTATTGTGCTGAATGGGATAGTTATGGAGAGAATTAGTTTGCAGGTACACGACATACACGGCTTCAGCTTCAAAGTCAAAAGGGCAAGAAGTGGGTTGCTTTGCAAAGAAGATCAAGATATCTAATGGGAAAACCTTAGATGTCATTGGTTTGGATACTGAATTACTGCAAGTATGTGTTTACTTGTTCTATAAAAATATTTGTATGTTTGCTGAACATATCATTATGGCATTTCCATTTACAGAAGAATTTCTATAGTAGATTGCGTTTTTCTTTAAAATTTTCCATACAATGTTTATTAATACTACTCAATTTATTGTCATCCCATTTGTCTGTGTTTGCAATAATAATTTTTTGAGAAAATGTTTGTTAAAATTTGTGTTTAATATGTCTCTCGTTGCACCCATTAATTCCAAGTGACTCTGTAGTTCAAGATATTGTATCTGATAAGATTATGAAAGTATGTCAATTCTTTGCCCCATGTTTGTTTTGCCTGTGATATCAAGTAGTATACAAAACATTTGAAGTTAATATCCTAAATTAAACTTTTAGATGCATAAGTTTTAAACATTTTTTCTTAAGCTAGAAGGGCAAACATATCAATGTCAGAGGACTGAAAATCAGGGGGAGGAGGTTATTCTGACCAATTTTTTGTGGCTTTTTACTTCTAGAATCCCTGAACTATTTGATTTTTTTAAAAGGTTACAATTTATATTGCTTATTAATTATGTCAACTTGCTTTCTTATTCAGCCTTCTAAGTTTTCATCCACCCTAAGATGGCACTGGGATTGACAGGATGAAAATGTTGTAATTGAGTTTTCAAATTATATCTAGCTGATACCTTGTGTGAAATAAATAAGACAGTTCTTTACCTGTCTGTTGTTCTCCTATGTCAGTGCATTCAGAGGTTAAGGTAGAAGAGTACCTACCGAGTCATATGGCTTTTCTATGAAATTATAAAGAACCAATTCAACCCAAAATCTTAAGCTTTTGAGTTAGATTACATTAATGATCTTATATATCTCTAACACGCCCCTTCACACGAGAGCCCATTGGGCTTGAAAAGTGAACAATGCACAGGCCCACCTACTTGTCCTAAGAAACTTCACAACACTTGATTAATTATTAATTAAATGAGGGCGGTGAGGACCGAACCCGTGACATGAGGCTCTGATACCATGTAAAGAATCAATTCAACCCGGGTGAGATTACATTAATGATCTTATATATCTCTAACAGAAATCATTTTTATCCCTTCCTAAAGAAATAAGTTCTCATATATCTGAACTCAAAGGCTGTTAATGTAGCAAGAGACACCAATAATAAAGTTATCTTATTGCTGATGGACTACTATTTTTACTAGGGAAAGGAGATCAAATTCTGCATAAGATGCGACAATATAATAGAATATGAACTATAAAAAGGAAATTGAAGCTGTAGGTTGCACTTTAGAGAGTACAGTGTGTGGACTAGATAACAGTTGATTGAAGAATCAACTCTTTAGATTTCTATAGAGTACTGCAACTAAAACAACCCGTGGATTTGTGAGGATCTATTCCCTTAATTCTTTTCATTAGCTGGAACTTTACTCTCTAAAGTGTTCACTGCAGTGAACTTTTCAAAGAGCTCAACCCCTATTCTAAGTAATAATGTTAATTAGTGTATCAATAATTACAAGACTATTTAAATACTATACCTCTTGTTTATTGGCGGAACCCAATAATGGAGGCAAGCTTCTTACAATGACTCGGATGACAGAAACAAGAAAAAACAAGGCTGGAGAGCCAATACAGCAGAGGACCACCACAGTTCCTCCTTCCCCCTATTACCGTTAACTTTCCTCCCCAATTCTCACTTCCACCCTCACCTATATCTACTATACCTCGGTTACACAATCCTGTTACAAAATTCTCTCTCCTCTAACCACCTTAACAGTTAACACCCCCTACCTTCCATGTTCTGCTGAACCTTCTTTTTGCTCCAATGGCTCTGCTCTGCAGAACCATCTACGTGCCCCATTGGGCTTACTCCTTGTTGGGTTGTTTGCATCACAAGCTTTGGATTTATTGGGCTTATCACACTGGTCTGCACCTCATAATCTGATCCACCTCCCACTGCTCTTCCTTTCTTCTGTTTTTCCTTCTATATACATCCTTTAAAGCCTCACCATTTCTTTTGTTGGCTTTCCATGTATTGTATGATTAAGTGCCACTATTACTTCTTCTATCCATAGGAAAAAGAAAAAATCTGTTTAATTATCATCAATACTGTGGTCATCCAATTTTGTACTTTTGTTTATACTTTATTGCTGTAACTATTTTTTGGTGGGGGGGGGGGGGGGGGGGGGGGTTATTGAGTTGTATTGGACAAGACAACTCTACTTGTTGAGCATTTAGCAGGTAAGTATTTACTTTCTTCATTGGCCCATAACAAATTTATATTTCAGATCTCATCCTATAGGTTTTGCTCCTTTTTCTTTCTTTTTATGTCCTTTACTTTTAATGTTCGACTGACATCTCATACATGAGTCCAGTCCAGCTTATTTATTTGTATATTTTCCTTTTTCCTTTAATTGGTTTGAGTCGATATCATCTAGCTTCATTTACTTTGTCTTACTGCATGGTTATAAATTGCGGTTGCAGTTGCTTTGTGATTACCAAAATTGTGGAAAATTGCAGACAATGCGGTTGTGAAGACCTCCAAACCACAATATTGCTGGCTGCAATTGATTGCTGACAATTTAAAACCATGTCTTAGTGTATTAACAAGCTTTAGTCTCTTTCTCTCATATGTTTACTTTTCTGATACTGAAGGACTTGGTCTTGAAGGGATCATTAAGTGGGAACAGAAACAATCAATTGGATTGGCTGATCAGAGCACTGGAAGCAAACAGTAGCAACTGGTATGGTCAGTCCGGGCATTAAACTTTTTTTCCAGACTGACTCATTCAAAATCTGACAAGAATATGTTAAAAAAATAATAATGTCCCAACAACCTGTCCTATTGCAAATTCATATGTGATAATAAAATCATTCCAGTTGTTGATAAACTCTTTTATCTCTTTTGTAACTTTAGGCGCATTGTTATTGGATACCAACCGCTGGTCATTTGTGGAGAGAATAAGGATCAAATGAAGAAAAAGCATGTTTTTGAGTATTTGCACAGTATATTTCTGAAATTTGCAGTAGTAAGCACAAAGCAATTATAACGTTTTTTTATAGGGAAAATTTCTACATACTAAATTTTTGACATGATGATTGAACTGTCTCTTGTCTGACATTCACCCTTTACTCCTCAGAATGTGTACCTGAGTGGGCAGGATTGTACTAACCATGCCATTGAGGGTAGTGTTGCTTACATTGGAAACCCTGGCTTGATTGAGAAAAAACCCTATTCAGTTTTTCTAAATGGAAATTCTGTCTTTAGCAGGTAAATATTCATTCACCTTCAGTCCCTGTGATTTGTGCTTTACTCAACATCTGTTACCTACCTTATGAATTCTTCCTTTTTGTTTTTGTCTTTCTAGAGAATTGGCAAATGGATTCCTTCTTCACCGAGTCAGCTCGGTGCAAATTGTGGGTAACTAGCTCTATGCAGTATTCATTCATCAGTTCTCTGAGGAAACTTACGGATTTGGATATTCATTGCCTCATTGGTCTCAATTATTCTGATTTGTTTTGGACTCAGCTCCTTATTCCTACTTGTTACATTAAAGTGGATGTTGCACAAAATTTATGAGTCATGTTATGCATGACATAATTGGTTAAATACCTTGGATTCAGTAATTTTCTCAAATGTCTAAATGACCCTACAAATATTTATCAAAGCTCAACTAATGCATCTTCCCATGGCAGGTAACCTACTATATAAATTTAGCTGGTGAAGTTGCTTACAAAACTGTGCTCCGACAGAAGGGTAGAGAGGCCATGTAAATATTTCCAGTTCAAGATCCACAATATTACTTGGTGTTGTTGGACAAATTTGTGGAGAATTACACGAGAAAACTATGCTCCAACATGCACTTATTCTTTTTAGCCTTCGTGCTGTTGTACCACTTCAAGTTTTTTGGTCCTATTTCATCATAAGTTTTCCCCAGCTTGCTTCTCAGACAAAGAACAATGCTATCCAATTCAAAGCCATTTTTTAAACAACTTTTCAATATTTTGGAAAGTTTTAGGAACTCGAAGATGTTTAAGATTCAATTGCTGTATTCATACTTTATGCTCTCTAGTTTTGGAATCAAAACCAATATGGTGATTTTACAGTTAAGTATAAAATAAGTACTAGGTGCTTTTATTTAGTTTAAAATTAGAATTGAATGTACAACTGATATTTATTTTGGAATGTGCTTTTATTTAGTTTTGGAATCATCATACGCAGTTATTTGGTCCTTAAATTGAATAAATTAGTCAGATTAATCTAGAAGTGTAATCTCCCAGATTATTTATCAATGATCTTTTGCTCTAACACAACAGATAAGATGCCTTAATAGTCTGACACAAAAATCAAGCTCTGCTTTGGCAACACTGTCAACAGTTAAAGTTGCACCTACAATTTTAACCAAAATAAAAAATAAAATTTTTTGCACCAACAAAAAATTATAAGAACAAAGACAAAATATGAATAGTGCCATTTTGCAGAAGAAATTATCTATACAGATGTGTACTAAATCAATAAGTGATATACATCACTATAAAAATAGCAAATTACTATTTGGTGATATTAAGGATCAATAGTTGCCCAAGAGTTGTAACTTAAGTGGCACCAAGTCTTTTTGAGGACTGTTTGTTCCCACTTCCAGTATAATAGCCCATATTAATTAATTAGGAAATCAAGTGTAATTAATTAATTAAACATGTTTTACTGGGTGAAATTAAGTATGAGGCTTAATAAAATGAATCTGAGTCACTTTGGAGTTAAAAAGTGTACTCAGTGAAAATTAAGGGGTATAAATGGGTACTGTCAAAAGTACCCAAAATATAAAAATAAAAAAAGTAATATTCCTAGAATAATATTCCAGACTTTTGGGTAAAGTTTGGTAATTATTGGAGTTAAATAGATAGACGAACCAATACCCGCTTAGAGCCACTTAACCTATGTTAAGTGACTTAAGTCACCAAATGCCCCCATTTTTCCCAGAAGCCCGTCGAGAAACAGAAAAGAAGGAGAAGAGAAGAGAGGGAGAAGAGAGGGAAGAAGAAAAGGGAAAGAGAGAGAGAGAGATCAAACCTTGATGGTTTTGGATGATTCAAAAGCCTAAATCGCTTAGAATCTCGCCCTCTTTCATAATCCAAGCTTTGTTTTGAGTGGGGAACCTTGTGGAGAGGGATATTGGCTCTCAAAAATTCGGCCATTGGTGAGGTTTTGGAGTTTTGGTGGCTTCTACCTCCATGGGAGCTTGAGGAACACTCCCATCATTGTTGTGCAACCATTGGTGGTAAGATTCTAACCCTTGAACCTCATGATTCCTTGAAATTTGCATGAGTTAGGGTTTGTGAATAGTAAATTGGGATTTTCATGAAATGTAGTTGAATTAGCTATGTTCTAGGAAGAATGGAGCTTAGAGCATGTTATGGAAAATGCTAGGAATGTCATTTAATCGGTGGAAATGAGCCTAGATAGTCATTTGATAATTGTTCATAATATTGGAAAATTCATGCTTGGATTGGTTAATATTCTAGCATGTTGAACAATTAGTGAGTTGAATGATCGATTGGGTCCTTGTGATGTCTAGGATTGAGACATTTGGACCAACCGTGAGTGATCAACCATTGGAGCAAGCTATGGAGCTTGAATAGCTCATTGGAATTGGTAAGCTCATACTTGGGTTGTGCTTTGAATTGAGTAATTGATGGTTGATTGTGAAATACTCTTGGATGCAATGTGTTGATTGCATTACACCATGTGTAGGTGTATGTTTGTAAAAGTTGATTGCTGAAACTGTTGGTGAAGAACAAAGGTTGACTGAAGCATTGAGGTAAGCCTTCGGACCTTGGGTGTAATTCCCTTGACTGTTCTACCAAGCCCTGAAAGGGTGGAGGTTGTGATTGTGTATATAAATGCAATAAAATAGTGTAATGCTTTGTTATACGTATGTGTATGCATTTGGTGTGGCATAGGATGGTGTTTCCCTATGTTGGTATGTGGCATGACGATGCGTAAATCATACTTGGTAGTTAGCTGGCCAGTAGGACTATTTGCATCTGAGTTTCCTTAGGACAGCTTGAGAGCTCGAGGGATTTCTCCTGGAGATGTATTGCACTTTGCATGGATATGTATTTACTGCATTATTATTGTTATTGCTATTACACTGATATGGAACTGTGGGGTGGAGAGATGCTCCAAGGACCCCTGGTTTACTGGATATATTCGTATATCTCACCCCGTGTTGTGGGGACCCCCTTTCAGGTAAGGATGCTGCAGGAGCCTCAGGTGGCAAGTGGCCATATCTGGATTATGCATGAAATATGGCATTTCTTTGAGTTTATGCATGCCTTTTGTAGTTGACATGTATAGGATTTTATTTTGAAAGCCCATGGTCATTTGTATGTCTTGATTCATTGGATGAACTTAGCCTATGCTCATGCCTTTGGTTACACCTTTTGTTGATGGGAGCCAAGGGAATGATCATGGTGTTTTGTAAGCTAAGTTCTATGATTTGTAAAGGATATGTAATGTGAATGATGCCTACTTGAAATTCAACATATGCATGCTTGTTATGTATTGAGTTGTTGAATTGGTTGGGCTGAAAATCAATTAGGTACCCTTTTGTTCAAACTGGTAAACGATGAGAAAACAAAGGTCATGCTGCCCAAATTCTAGCTAAATCTCATGAGGAGAGGTTGGATGAGGCTAGGATTTAGTTTTGGGGTATGGACAATTGGGGTTTGTAATGGGGATGCATTTTCCCCTAGGCTTGGACTTGAGAAATGTGGGGATTGGAATTCCCTGGCAGCGCGCTTAAGCGCCCAGGAGCGCGCCCAAGCGCCCTGCTGCCCCTGCGAGTGCCAATGCATTCTGCCTCCTCGCGCTGGAGCGCCCAAGTGGGGGCTTAAGCGCCCAGGATTGCGCGCTGGAGCGCCCTGGCGTGCGCTTAAGCGCCCCTTGCTGCAGAAAGTTGGGTGGCTTACTGCCCCCTCGTGTTTTAGCGCCCAGGGTGGGGCTTAAGCGCCCAGGGTTGCGCGCTTGAGCGCCCTGGTCCGCGCTTAAGCGCCCTTAGCCACTGTAGGAGGAAATGCTTCTGTCTCTGCGCGCTAAAACGTCCCAGTGGGAGCTTGAGCGCCCAGGCCAGCGCGCCTGAGCGCCCTGTTGCGCGCTTAAGCGCCCATCCACACTGGAAATGCCAATGCTTACTGCCTCCGTGCGCTTAAGCGCCCAGATGGAGGCTTTAGCGCCCGATAGCGCGCGCTTGAGCGCCCGGTAGCGCGCTGAAGCGCGCTGGGCCTGTGACCAACACTCTCTTGTGTTGCTTCAAATTGTCCTAACTTGGACTACAGTGCTCCGATTTGAGCACGGTTTGAAGCCACGGGTAGCTAATGAAGAAACCTACAATATAGTAGAAGTATTGAACTAAACAAGAAGTAAATTAATGGTTTAAAAATGGGAAATGAACATGATGTTAAGCTTAATTTATCTGTTTCCGCAAGGTAATATGGTTATGATCACGAAATTGGGTATTATAAGTTCGGTACGTTTTAAAATGAAAAATTTGACCGGATTTTAATTGAACCCAGGTGATTGTAACTGCGCTTAATATCATAATGCGATGTTAACAAACCGGTTCTAGAACGGGGTGTTACATTTTATGGTATCAGAGCAGTTTCGTCGGAAATTGTTAAGTATGCTTAGTGTTTGATGCTTTATAGTTGTTTTAGTACTCTTGATGATTATTGCATTTGTGATCACTAAGTGTGGGCCTGATCAACTCACTTCTTTGTGTAACATGTGTAGTGACATGACGAGGAACCGAAACAACCCCGGACCATCAAACACCAATGCTCAGCCAGAACCTGTTTTGGCTGCTCTTGTAAGGCCTAGAAGTGGCCGTGGGGCAACGGGCGTACCGCCTGATCCCGTGGCTGAAGCTCTTGCAGCCGTTCAGAGAGAGTTGGCTGCGAGCAGGCAAGCCAATGAAAATTTGTTAAAGACAAATGAAGACTCGCGGACTGCTATGGCCGCGATGATGACCGAGTTGAGGACGTTGAGGGGTCCTAGGCCCGTGAACCGGCAACCTACTCCTCCTCACACTGCTACGCCTTCTCCACCTCCGTCACAGGAAGAGGGTGGAGTGGGTAACAATGAGGGTGAAGGTAGTCACCACTCCGGAAGTCGGAGTCATCACACTGAGGTTCGTCAACCTCAAGTTGAAAATGTCGGTGATCATGAAATGGAGGAAAGGAGATTAATGGCTTTCCGAAAACATAAGCCTCCTTCTTTTAAGGGAGGTTATGAGCCAATGGCGGCTGCAAAATGGCTCCAAGCTATGGAGAAGATATTCAGGGTGATGAGGTGCCCTGACGCAATGAAGTTGGCTTACTCTGTTTATATGCTGGAAGAGGAAGCAGAAGATTGGTGGACAAATACCGTGCAGCCATTAGAAGCTGAAGGTCGGGAGATCACATGGCGGTTATTCGAGACATTGTTCTTGGATAACTACTTCCCTAGAGAGGCTAGGGAACAAAAGCAGAATGAGTATAACGATCTCAAACAAGGGTCGATGTCTATTGACCAATACTTCTCAAAATTCAATGAGTTGGTGAAATACGCCAACTATGGGCGAGCCTTACCCACCCCGGCTGAAATGACCTCCAAGTTCCAATGGGGTCTTAATGAAAAGATGTCTCGGAAGATGTCAAATTGTGACATCCGAGAGTTCAGTCGGTTTGTAAACCAGTGTAGAAAGGTGGAAGAAGTGTATAAGGTGTCCCAAACCAAGAAGTCTTCTGAGGCCCAGGCACCTAGTTCCAATAAAGCAACGGGCTCAGGTTATTGGAAGAACAAGAAGGTGCAAGGCAAGAAGCTGAATGCGAATAAGCCCTTTGACTTGTTCAAAAAACCCGGTACTCAGAAGAAGTTTGTTGATAGAGGACCTCCTCCCAAGTGCAAGGGATGTGGCAAAGAGCATAGAGGTCCATGTGCTACTGGTGAGGTGATTTGCTTTAAATGTGGAAGATCCGGTCACTACTCTAGGCAGTGTCCTCAGAATGAAGCAAGGACTATGGCAGTTCAAGCCACTGCTGTTCCGGTCTCTGTTGTTCAACCTATGCTAGAGTCTCAGACGGTTGGTAGAGTATATACCATGGACCGTCAGCAATCGGA